AACCAAGTAGCCATAGCCTTGGAAGGGTTCCTGGGGAATTTGGACTGTCATTATGACCCTCATAAATGGGTGACCTCCTTTCGCGCCCTCTGTTGGGACGCTCCCCGGCTCTTTGTCAGGGAGCCCTTAGTGAAAGCCTACAATGTTTTCACTGACGGGGGCAGATTTGGAGCTGCAGTGGTAGTATACCCGGGGGCAGATGAGAAACCAAAAAGATATGTCCACACTTATGATGGCTCAGCTCAATTCAAGGAACTCATGTCCATTGCTTTAGCATTATCAAAGGTAAGTGAGCCCATGAATTTGTTTTCTGACAGTCTGCATGTAGTCAATCTTCTTCCAGGGCTATTAGGTTCTCATATCCGGTTGGATGGGAACCCCATTACTCCCTTGATGATTCAGACTCTTATGCTCCTTAAAGAGAGAGAAGCCCCTATTTTCTTACAGCATCTTAGGGGGCACCAAGGATTCCCTGGGCTTTTATCCCAAGGCAATGCAGAGGCAGACAAGGTGGCTTCCACCCAGGTTCTGTCAGCAGGCCTGAATGAAGCTCGGGGGTTACATAAACTCACTCATGTAAGTTGGTGGGGACTTCATGAGAGGTTTCCTCAAGTTCCCATCAAGGACCTAAAGAAGATTATACATACCTGTAAGTCTTGTCAACCCTTGACTCAAGCTCAGTTCCTTATGGCAAACGGATGTCACACACTATGCTCCTTTTGGAAAACTTAAGTATATTTTTGTGTCCATCAACACATTCTCTCATACCTGCTGGGCTACCAATCATACAGGAGAGAAGTCTAAACATGCTCAGTCTCATTTTCTCCAGTGCTTTGCTATGTTGGGATTGCCCCAAAGAATTAAAACTGATAATGGACCATGTTTTGTGAGTAAAAATTTACAAGATTTCTTTTCACTTTGGGGAATTCAATACAATACAAGAATTCCCTACAATCCCCAAGGTCAAGCCATTGTAGGACTCAACCATCAAAACCTAAAAATTCAATTACAAAAACAAAAAGGGGGAATAAGCCCCCACCAACAGTTGGGTATGGCCTTATTCACAATTAATATTCTTAATTTTCAAAAAAATCAGTTGGAATCCCGGTTTCAGAAGCACTCGAGATGACAGGAACAGAGACCTGAGGTACAGGTAAGGTGGAAGGACCCCATTACGGGGCAATGGACAGGCCCAGATCCATTGTTAACCATGGATCGAGGCTTTGGCTGTGTCTACCCTACAGGAGATTCAAACCCCGTATGGGTGCCTGAAAAAAACCTTAAGTGGGTAGGCCAGGATCCGACTGACTAGCATGACGGTCCGTGGACAATATTTCATGAGACAAAATTCCTCTCTTTATATCACAGAGGCAAGGAGACAACTGGCTGATTGGCTAAAAGGTCCATCTGGGGTGAAGGACCCAGTTCCTTGGCTTCATTGCCAGTCAGCCTCTTTGCCTTTTAATCTATGACTCAAGAAATCATTAGTCTAAATTATACTCAACTTCCTGTGTTGGACCTTGATTCATCCTTTGTAACTCAGGTGTGGGAACACATGAGGAGGTTTTTTGACCCTAGTTGGCTTGTGGCAGGAATCATTATGGTTGCTTTGTTTCTCTTGATAATGCTTATCTTTAAGTGTCTTTACCAGATAATTCGGCAACAGAGGACCCTTGGAACTGCCATGGCCCACTTCCTCATGATTATGGACTCCCTTAGGAACATACCCCCTCCGGTTGTCCACGCTGGGCTAACCGAGTTAGGCAGAGACTAAGACCGTCACGGGCTGGCATTACCCATGTGGCTGCCCTTAATCATGACGTATTTTTAGCCAAGGACAGGTAAGATGTCCCATGACAAGCACTCCTAAGACAGGACATGCACATGGCCAGGTGCATGGTCCAATGACGGGCAAGTCTTGGTTAGAGGTGACACAACCTAAGACAGGCAAAAATGCATAAAATTAGAAGAAGGAGATAGCCATCTCTCCTCAGGGAGCCATCTATGAGATGGGTTACCCGTGAAATAAAGTCAGTTCGGCCTTATAAAATAAAAATAAAAGGGGGAGATGTGGGGACCTAAAGGCCCCGCCTTGCCAAGATGGTGCCGAGAGGAAGTTACTGGGGTGTGGCCTGACTTGTTTTGAAGATCATCGGATTGGATCCCTCCATAAGCTTTCATGGGCTCCTGCCTGCATGCATGCATTGACCTTTAAGCTGATTGGAGAACTATGAGGGGTGGGGGAATTATAAGCACCCTGCCCTGCTGCAATAAATGAGTTCCTGCTTGACTAGACTCCCCATTGCGTCTGATTGTTTCCGGTGCTGGGGGCGGCAGGGGCTGGCGAGCGGTGCGCTTACTCAACTCCAGTCATCCTTGCGTGGGTATCGCAGGCTCGAACCCCCCGCAGGGTGGCTCAACAACCACCTGTAACTCTAGGGGATCTGAAGCCTCTGGACTCTATGGGCACCTGTACATACCTGTAGACAGACACGTATACATACACATAATTAAAAATAATGAAATAGCCAGGTGTGGTGGCACATGCCTTTAATCCTAGCACTTGGAAGGCAGAGGCAGGCGGACGGATCTCTGTGAGTTCAAGGCCAGCCTGGCCTATACAGTGAGTTCCAGGACAGCTGGGGCTACAGGGAGACCCTGTCTCAGAAAGACTGAAAAAAAAAAAAAAAAAGAAAGAAATCTTTAAAAAATTAAAAAGATGGGGCTAGAGAGATGGTTCAGTGGTTAAGAGCACTAACTGCTCTTGCAGAGGACCCGGGTGAGATTCCCAGGACCCACATGGCACCTACAAACCATCTTTAATTCCAGTTCCAGGGGAATCTGAAGCCCTGTTCTGACCTCTGAGGCACTGCATGACATGGTGCACTCACATACATGCAGGCAATACACTCATACACATAAAATAAAAATAATAAAATATTTTTTTAAAAAATACAAAAGACAGCAAAGTGGGAAGATGCACACAAAAAAATGGTAATACTTTGTAGGCGGGATTTTAAGGAAAGAAGTAAAATGGGAGACTATTTAAATGTTAAGTGCTTGTACCGTTTGAGAACATTTTAGAACAAGCTTTTATTTTGTTTTAGTTTAGTTTTTTAAGACAAGAGTCTCATGTAGCCCATGTTGGCCTCAAATTTACTATGTAGCCAAAGATGACCTTGAACTCTTGATTCTCTTACCTTAACCTCTCAAGTGCTGGGATTACAGGTATGCACAACCATGCCTGGCTTAGAACAAGCTTTTAATACTTTTACAACAAAAAATGAAAAATATAGCAACAGCAAATATTGGAGGACGGTCAGTTAATACAGATTGGGACAAAGGTGATGGAAAGAGCTGAAGGGAAGAACAAAGCAAACATGCACTGCAGACCTGGTAACTTTAAGACAGCCACAAGGGCCCTGGAGTGTTAGCAAGGGTATGTAGAGGGTAGAAGGCAAACAGTGTGGCCCACACAATGCAGAAAAATATGTTGGCTCAGCTGTGTCAACAGTGCCACATGGTTGAGATGCTCATGGGCCAGTGGAACCAGCTCCATGGTGTGGACCTCAGAGTAAGGCTCAGCAATCATTTTTCCCTGTCCTAATGCTCAAGAGGCAGCCTGTGCACCTGTTCTAAGAATGATTAGATTCAACACATTGCTGAACCATGAGTCATATTACCACGATCTTATATAGCTAAGCAGTGCTTGGAATTTTTCCTATGGTTTCTACATATCAGTAAGAATTCATGTATACGTGTGCATGTGCATGTGGAGGCCTGAGGTTGATGCCAGAGTCTTCCTCAGTCAATCAATGAATCAATTGATAAATCTTCACCTTATTCAGGGCCTCACAATGAACCTGGAGCTTGCCGATATGGCTAATCTAGGTAGTCATCTTACTCCAGGAATCCTGTCTCTGCCTTCTGAGTGCAGGAATTACAGGCAGGTCTTCACGTCAATCCAGCATTTACATGGGTTCTTATGATCCAAAGTCTGTCCTCATGCTTGCTCAGGAAGCACTTTAATCGCTGAGCCACCTCCCCAGCCCCCAGTAATTCTTAACTTGCTTTCAATCAGATATCTGAGAATCTTATTAAAGCTGTGGACCATCTCCCCACCCCCTCGCCCAGGAAATCAAAAATAAGCATTTGAAGCACCATGGATATGAAATTAAGAACTCCTGCTGGAAAATGGACAGTGGTAAATGCCTGTAGACATAGCTACTCAGTAGGCTGAAGCAGCAAGATTCTTGAACCCAAGAGTTCAAGGGCAGCCTAAGCAATGTAGCAAAGAAAGACCCTACCTTAAATTAAAAGCCCCTATTAGGGTCAGGGTTGGAGAGGAGATGAAAAGCAAAGGAACACCTTAGTCCACTGAAAAGACGTAAATAGTATAAGTCTAATGAATACAGCTGCTCTCAAGGTTATCCAGGGCTGGCTAGAGGCAGAATAACTTCCATAGGCAACTTCCATTGCTAAAAGCAGAGGGAGGTTTGGGTCCCAGATGGTTTGAACACTACATCTTCAGCAACTTTGATGCCTATGAAATGAGCACTGGTGGGAGGGCTGCCGGAGAAAATCCTCCCAAAGAGGTAAGAAAGTGATCAACTAGGACAGTAGTGCTCTGAAAGCCACTATAAAGACAAACCAAGTTGGGGGAAAAAGCAGAGAGAGAGACAGACAAGCAGACAGGCAGATAGATGGAGTAATTAATTTTTAAAACAATGACATGGCTTTCTGAGTTGGCCAGTAGGGGCCAAGAAACATTCCTGCTGAGCGTGGTGGCACACGCCTCTAATCCCACCACCTGGGAGGCAGAGGCAGGCAGATCTCTGTGAGTTCAAGGCCAATCTGGTTACACAGTGAGTTCCAGGCCAGTTGAGGCTACAGGATGACCCTGTCTCAAAAAAACAATTTAAAAGGAATAAGAAATAGGGCTATAAGGGGCTGTAAGAAGAGACTAGAGATTGTTTTGAAGAACCATGGTCCCACCTTACCTGCAATAGTTATGTTCACCCAGGCCACCTTCCCCATTGGGGTATTTCAGAGTGTTGTATGGATGCTGGAAAGTCTCATTCCAGAACAGACATGGCTTCCCTCCTTGCAATGCTGTCCAGTTCTGTGTTCCCCTGTAATCTGCACCATTGGCTGTGAAACACTCTAGGAGAAAGAAAAGACAGCATACTAATTTTCTGGCAACATTTATAGTTTCCTCCCCCTCTAGTGGATGTTTTATTTGTTTTGTTTGGATCAAGCTAGAAATGGATAGTGTCTTGCTAGATCCTGGGCAGCCTGCAGTTAGCAGAGCTGAGTTGAATGAACCTGAAATGAGGTACCCTGCACACACTGGGTTGTTAGCATCAGCTCTTGGGTCTTTATACACTTTTCCCTAAATCTTAATGAGGATATAAACACAGAGCTGAAATGTACTGGAGCCCATGAAGTGAGCTAGGAAAACCCCCAAATCTAGAAATAGTTGGTAATAAGTCATGTATATGGCATTCTGGGTACTTGGAGGGAGTCACTGCTCTCACCAACGTCTCTATGTGGTAACTAGAACCAGGTCACCAGCTGTAACTGAGCTCTCCCCTACAGTCTGAAAGGCTGAACTGACACTTGGATTTAATAAGACCATCGGATACAGCAATGCTTTGGAATCCCAATCACACAAATCTGGGAATGACTCACATTCCCTGGTAATGAGGAACAGTCTTCCGAAAGCTGAGGCAGAAGCGCAACAAAACAAGCGGGCAAGGGAGGGTGGGGGGGTGCCATTTTCTCTCACCTCCTCTTGAAATTCTTTCCTATAGAATTTGCTGAAAAATGGTCTCAGGTCCCATTTCATGAAATGACAAATCCTTGCAGGTATATCCATGCACTCTGAAAATCTGTTTCTCAGACTCTGGGGGATGGGGACTGAGGCTGACGGGCTTCCCCACACATATTGTATGCATTAAACTCACAGAGGTTCATGAGAAAGGCACAGTACAAAGAACAATTTTTTTTTTTTAATTAGCTTAGTTGAAACTGACAGATAGAAGCACTTCAAACACTTCTTTAAGCTGTATCACTAGAACCCTGACATTCTGGGGGAGCTACATCAACATTCTTAGCTTTACTTCTTTCCTTTTCCTGGCATGCAGTGACCTATAACTTCCGGTGTTAAGGGCTCAACACTGTCTCCCGCTGGAAAGTGCATGTGCCCCCTCTAGACTAATAGGCATAGGAACAACATGAACACATCTCTATTCCACAAGCTAGTTCTTTCAATATTTAAAAACTATCCACAGAACATCTCTCTTCCTGTACCATCTTCCTCCCACCAGCTAGGCTCTGGGTTTTGTCTGGAATGGTACCATTTTATCGACAGTCAAAATAATCTGGAATTCTGGGATATACAAATCTCTAGCAATTTATCATATTTAGTGCAACGCTCATGCATTGCAGTAAGTGGGACTTCCCAAGCACCATGATGACTTTCTACCAGGGGTCAGCAGAAACAAAACAGTTCAAAGGTAAGCATAGCATGACACACACTAAACCAAAAGGCTTTGCTTTGGCTTGGCTTATACTGCTGCTGACCAGCTGTGCAACCTTGAAGGAATCACCACTGTCCAGATGAGTTTTAGTGTCTACATAGTGTTTCACTGTGGGCCAAGGTCTGTTTCAACTCACCACCAATTCAGGAGAAAGGCATCCTTATTACATTCCACTTTATACAGGAAGTAGCTGGGGCACTTGAACACATCCTGCAAGACTCTAGCAGAACTCCTTCATTGTCAACCTCACTCTTCCACCTTTTCTCCCTTAGCCCACTTCCCCACTCATCAGCAAGTCCTGTTTACTTTCCCAAATATATGTCCTGAAACTCCCTTTCCTTCTCCACCTTCAGCACCACTTACCATGAATGTACAGTTTAGGCCTCAACATTTCCTTTTTTGTTGCACAACCCAATCTCCATACAGAACTCAAAGATGCCAGGAGAATGAAGATTCGTGGAGTAAAATCCAAAGTCTTATGGGTATCTGCAAGGCCTTTCTAACCTAGCCCCAGCTCTTTCCTTGGTCACTATATATCAAGCCACACTTGCTTTTAATTCTGGAAACACACCAAGCTATTTACTGCCCAAATGTTCTTTCTCTAATATTTTCCATTGAAGGAAAAATGTTATCTCCTCAGAAACCCCTTCTTATCACTTCTGTTCCTCTTTTTCTGCCTTTTGTTTGTTGCATAGCACTTATTATCACTAGAAATATGTTCATCCCCCTATATCCATAGCTTCCACATCCACTGATTCAACCAACCATAGATTTAAAGTGTATGGTATATACCAGAGCCCTATTCCAATCCAGGGCTAGAGTGGAATCTGGGAACTTGTATTAATAAAATGTTGCCTGCCGGGCATGGCAGTGCACGCCTTTAATCCCAGCACTTGGGAGGCAGAGGCAGGCGGATCTCTGTGAGTTCAAGGCCAGCCTGGTCTACATAGCGAGTTCCAGGTCAGCTGGGGCTACAGGGAGACCCTGTCTCAAAAAGACCAAAAAAAAAAAAAAAATGTTGCCCAGGTAACTATGTTCAGGTTTGGAGTCACAAGACTAGATGATTCTATAAATATCAAGGTAAATTTTGTCACCTGCTAGAATTTTAACTGCTGTGTTAAACATCTTTCTGATCAATCTGATCTTATACCTGAAAATGTTAGGTTGCAAGCCTTGAATATAGACAATAAAGTGTGGGGATGGGGGTTGTGAGATCTGTTCCTAGCACCAAAGTCAGGAAGTTTATAAATTGCCTATAATTTCAGGTCTAGAAGATGTGACATGCTCTTCTGGCCTCTGTGAGCACCAGCACATGCATGGCATACACTCACATAGGCACAGACACATACACATAAATAGAAATAAAAATAGATCCTTTTAAAATGTGGCAAGAGAGCTGGGTATGGTAGAACACACCTATAATTCCAGTACTTAATCAGAAATTCTGGGTACATCCTTAGCTACATAGCTAGTTCAAGTCCAGGCTCCATGAAACCCTGTTTTTTTTTTTTTTTTTTTTTTTTTTGGGTATGAGGGTATTGCCTGCATGTAAGTGGGTGCACCCGTTTTTTACAATACCCCGGGGGTCAGAAAGGGGCTTCAGATTCCCCTGGAACTGGAGTTAAGGATGGTTTGCAGCTGCCATGTGGGTCCTGGGAATCTAACCCAGGTCCTCTGCAAGAGCAGTTGGTGCTCTTAACCGCTGAGCCATCTCTCCAGCCCTGAAACCCTATCTTAAACAAACTCACTCAAGAATGACTCAAAAGCTATCAAAACAGGTTTCAATGGATGGCCTTAGCAATACACAGCAACCTGTGGATCATGCTCTCATTCACATGTGGCAGTCCTAACAGTCTCAACCCTAGAGGGGTTGAGATGTCATCTGACAACAGGAATGGGACAGTACAGACTTGTTTTTCTTAGATCAGCCTGTTTTTCTCAGATCTACTCTTTTTAGTTTTTTGAGACAGGGTCTCTTATAGCCCAGACTATCCTGAAACTCACTATATATGTAGCTGAAGCTAGCCTTGAACTCCTGATCCTTTTGCTTCCACCTCCCCAGGGCTAAGACCACAGGTGTGGGTCACTACACCTGGCTCTAGGATCTGCTCTTAATCTCTGTACTTTGGGGAAACTAAGCAACCATACTAGATTAACTAAGCAACCAGACTAGATTTTAATGATTTTTTTTTAACCAGACTTGCCAAATGCATGCTAATGGTGAGGAAAAACAAAACAAAAAACCCCAGAGTGCTCCAGATTTAAAGTCATCTGTGCATCTTGACTTCATCAGAATACTAGGGTGTGGACTAGATAAGGAGGACTCAGCCTTCTTCATTTTCTACCAAGTTTTGGCTAGATAAGCAAGGAGTGGCTCAAACAACAAAATCACCAGTCCCTTGTATATTTACATTTCCAGTGAAGGGAATGATTGAAGGCAAGAGACCTAAAGTCTAGGATATTATTCACTAGTTGATCCAACAAACACTTATTTGGCACTTCATATATGCACTGGAATCACAATGGGGAATAAAGAGCCTGTGCTCATGGAGTTCCCATGCAAACAGGGGAGATGGGCTCATAATAACCAGAATCAACATCAGATAGTGGTAGGTGCTATGAATATGGTCAGGGAGAGTCTGGAGAGGAGCAGACTTGAGCTGAGATGTAAAGGAAACAAAGCCCCAGCCAGTAGCAAGGCGCTCAGCAAGTGCCTGGTCTTCCCTGACTGAGGGGGGGAAAGGGAGCAAGCAGGGAAGGGCAGGTAAGGCCAGGACAGGTAAGGTCTTGAGAGTTACACAAGACACAGGGAAAGAGGAAAGAAAAACATGCAACAAATTGTTTTTTCCTAACCAAAATCCAGCTGTAAATATGATAAAACATCTTTATATATGACACTGAAATTGTATAATTCAATATTTACAGTTATTGTGAGGGCAATATGAGTTAATACATTCACTGCATTTTTTAAAAATTGGGGGGTATTTACTTTTATTTTATGTGTATGAGTGTTTTGCCTGCATGCATGTAAGTGCACCAAATTCATGCAAACCCAGACAGCCAGAAGGCATCAGATCCCCTGGAACTGGAGTTACTGAAGGTTGTCAGCCCCCATGTGGGTGCTGGGAACCGAACCCAGGTCCTCTGCAAGGGCAGCCAGTGCTCTTAACTGCTGAGCCATCTCTCCAGCCCCTATGAATGACATTTTATTTATTCTATTTTTTGGTCTTTTTGAGACAGGGTCTCTCTGTAGCCCTAGCTGGCCTGGGACTCACTATGTAGACCAGGTTGGCCTTGAACTCAGAGATCCACCTGCCTCTGCCTCCGGAGTGCTGGGACTAAGGGCATGCGCCACCAAACCCAGCTTATATGCACTACATTTTAAAATTTCATGTGTAAAACTATAAAGCCTAGCAAGTTCCAGGCTAGCCAATGTTAGCAAGACTCTTATAAAGCCAAAATGAAAACAAAAAAACCCCCCAAAAAACCATACTAGAATGAAACATTTAGTTCATCAAAATGATGAGTACAAGAGGAGAGGGACTCCAATATGTTCTCTAGGCATTCTAGATAGCACAGTGTTATTCCTATGGCCACATCCGTGTGAATCTACAAAAAGGG